TATCGGAGATGCATTGCTGTACCAGTCATACTTTGTTTGCCTTTATGAAAAGCCCAACAGCACTCTGATTGAATATGGAAAGTCTCTGGGTATCTCAGACGGTGGAGACATATACCTGACGCATCTTGACGCGAACGATCCCTTACACGTGCGATTTTACGCTTTTGGTAACATGGATAAGGTTGTCAAAATATGGGACGCTCACATTACACCACGTGACCTTACAGATGCTGATTGCAAAGGAAGCACTTACAAAGATCTCCCAACAAATCTGTGTTTTTTGAAGTGCCATGAATATTGCGACCCTTTTGCAGGTTGACCTATTTAAATAGTTATCTCTGAATTTTTGGTAATATCTGTGGCGTTTGGTGTGAACAGTCCGTACATCAAGAAGACGGATGTGGAATTCACGGTCTTTCATTATGACATGGAATTCTATTTTAAGGAAAAAATGTTCATTGGAAAAAAAATTCATAAGTTAAGACGAGGGTTGAAAAATAATCTATTAGCCTATAGAAAGAATACGTATAACCGAACTAAGACTTTTTTCATTGCCTGATGAGTGTTTGTCTTTGTTTAGGTTGCAAAAATGCTGGTGCGAAAGATTTACGGCCCTCAGATTGTTTGGCTTGTAGAGTAGCCAAGGATCCAGCGACTAATGTGTGCTTAGAAAAATGTCCGGAAAATACACAGCCAGACGAAAAGAAGGAATGTTTACGTAAGAGTTTAAGGGTATTTAGCAGATAGGTCACGTGAAAGAGAAAACATTTTGGGAAGAAACTAGAAATGACAGGAATCCAACAGGAATCCATCATTCTAGTGATCGTTCTGGTCTCGAAGGAGAACCACTGAAAGTTATAATTTGAAACTTTGGAGGGGGCAACCGTTATGTGTGTCTCTATAATGGATGAGAGATATCGAGGATACCAAAAAGACTAATTTTAGCAACAGGAAATTTAATCAAGTACACGTCTTTAACTTTTGTAAAAGTTGAGTACTGAACAGTCACCATTTACCGATAGGTGGGGGTTTGCCGACGTGAAAAATGATTTGTTCATCTAGATATTTATTTCCTTCCGTAAATCGAACAAAGGGAGGAATTGAAAGGGATGAAATTGAAAGGTCATGATACCAGGTGGTGCGAGTGGAACAAAAATGATTGGTAAAATAGATACTTAGAGTCTGATTCCAGCATAGCGGAAAACTCACTTGGTTTGTTCCATGACAAAATCCAGAGGTCGAGGTGTATGGTATATTGCAGTTCAGATGTCATGGTTTGTAAACCAAGAAAAACTCGGCAATTGATTTATTTAATCAATGGTCTTTATATAGTCAACTAACGTTTCCATGAACGTTATTGATTGCCTTTGCAGTCACATTTGATGCCAAGACAATCGTACCAGGAGGAGTTACGGCTACTTCAAGATATTTAAAGCGGTGGCAAGTAAGTGGAGTAAAGGTCCAGGATATGCCCGCTCTTAATCACATGACATTGTGTCTGTGGACAAAGTTTCCTCAAACGAATTTGCGTGGAATTAAGATAACCGGCCTGGCCAGGTACTACGACACAAACAGAAAAAGTGGTTTCTTCCTCAGGACCGTGGAGTATGATAAAAATGGTGGAGGTTATATACTTTTTGCCCTTGGCCATGTTCCTAAGTGAGTTCCTTTTGTCATGCCTGTGTCTTGTCCTAGAGTTATACAATAGATGTAGATTCATGGCAATTACAATTTAAAGTTGGCCAAGTACATCGTGGACCAAGTCATTGGTGGGGAAAGGTGTTTTTTTGTTTGAACCAAACTATCTTGATTACTTGGAAAAAAGAACAAGGTATCTCGGGAAGAGAATTTGATTATAATTAAAATAAAGAGAATTTGATGAAGATCGATGCGCCTCCTTTCCCGATTGTTATCGAATGAATAATGACCGAGTTAGCAAAACTCTTTTCAAAATATTTGTAAATATTGTACAACTTAGCATAGCCACAGAGGGTAAGATGGTGCCTCTTTCGCCTTTTCGCAGGAGGAAGACCTTGCGCTTTTCAAGAGCATTTCTAGATGATAATGAGTGGCACCGATTGTGCATTGCTTGGAACGGTGTCAGTGGCGTGACTAAGGTGTACGTTGATGGTGTTCAGGATAAAAGTGCCAAATTTGGCAAATACGCCGTAGGGGGATTATTAAAGGATTCATTACCGGGAGGTGGAACTTTAGAAGTATTAACAGTACACAGCCAGGTAGTCTATGTGTCTGAATTGAACCTGTGGGATAAAGTTCTCTCTACAGTAGAAATTTCTGAGTCGTCAAAACTCTGTTTTGGGAAGCAGGGAAATGTGAAGAAATGGTCAGATTTTTGGCCTGCCTTTAGCAAATACAAATCTCGGCACGAAGCGCCTTCCCAGTGCAAATCTCCTATTGGCAGCAGCGAGGAAATGATGGAAGAGGATCTTGTGGTCTCTAATGGCAGCAATGAGGAAATGATGGAAGAGGGCCTTGTGGTCTCAGAAAACAGACCATTTCCCCCTAACGCGAAGAAAAGAAGAGCTTTCAAATACGCAAGAAAGGGACAAAAAAAATCCCACCCAGTAGCTTTAATGTGATACTCAGAATGTAGCGTCGAAGCCTTCGGTGTCAAGAAAAACTTCAGAGAAGTCCACGTTTAACTCGAACTCAGGCGTTCACTGGCAGGTACGCCAAACAAAATGTGCACGCTGTGTTCAAGATATCTCTTCAGTTAAACGCTTGACATGTATGAATAACTTTAAAC